AGCATTTGTTCTTAATTCTCCTCTGATCTGCATTCTGTTGTTTATTCTCATTTGTTCTGATAAGGTCCCTTGTCTCTAATGTTGCTTTCTAAAGGGTAAGAAATAAATCAATGGTACTTAGCTTTTCTAACCATCTGGTCTGGCAAACATCCCAAAATTAATGTTTAAATCTGGGTGCAGTTCATGTATTTTTGTCTTATCTTAGGGAACATCTCTGGAGGTAGGGAATGAAGAGTAGGACTTCCTCTCTAATTTCAGTGAGCAATTTGGCCCTTTTATACATATCCGTCTGTAAATATTGTAGATTTCCATTACATGTTGTGTGGTTTAGTTACTCAGCAAAGGCCACGGTCAGTTCAAAAACTTCCACTTAGGACACTTTCTTTTATGTTTTTGAGAAGAAGTTAGCAAACTTTTTCTCACAAAAGGCCAGATGGTAAATATTTTAGGCTTTGTAGGCCACAAAGTTCCTGTTGCAATTATTCAACACTGCTGTTGAAGTGTAAAAGCAGCCATAGAATATACGTAAACACATAGGAGTGGCTGTGTGCTGATAAAATTTGTTTATAAAAACAGGCAATAGGCTGGAGTTTGCTGATCCCTCTTTAGAGTAAAGCTTTTTGCAAAACCATTAATGGATTCCTTGATAATTTTCAAGTTTCCACTGTGTAAGTTTACTAGTTGTGTAATGTAGAGGGAGTTGTGTAATGTTTTTGAGGCCCAGTTTACTTATTTGTAAATCAACAATAAAAACACAATCCTGAAGGATTATTTGGAAGACTGGATAATTTGAAGGATAATTTGAAAGATTATTTGGAAGTTTATTTGGAAGATAATATGTTTTAGCATGCATGGAATCCTTACTCATACTTAGTGCTTAGTAAATAATGATGATAACATTCCATTAGAACCTCTCTACTTGAATCTGCTTGGCCATGCTCATCAAAAACTAGCAGCTCATATATACTGAGGGCTTACCATAAGAAGAATTAAGGACTCTATAAAGACTATTTCATTTAATCCTCACAACAATATTACGAGGTAGGCACTACTGTATTTCCATTTTCCAGAGAAGAAAATTGAGGTATAACTATATTGTAAAATTATTCCAAATTCACACATCTAGTAATTCACACAGCCAAGATTTAAAGTTTTCATGGTGGAATTATTAAATAGGCATAATTATTTAATTAATAGTCACTTGGGGGAAAGATAGCAAAATGGACAAGTGTAATAAGCTATTCCCATTTTACTATAGGAGGGCTATTTCTTTTTAAATGGCCAAAAGTTCTTTGATACTTCTCCCAAGAATATGGTGGTCTATAATCCCCTCCCCTTGAATCTAGGAGGGCTTACAACTGGTTTGGCCAATGGAATATGATAGAAATGAGGCTGTGTGACTTCTGAGCCTAGGTCAGAAAAGGCTTTGAAGCCTCTTCCTGGCTCTCTTGGGGCATTCACTCTGGGGAAGCCTGCTGCCATGGAAGAGGTCCACCTGTAAAGGCAACCATCCTGAGTTCCCAGCAGCAGCCAGCAGCCAGCAGCTAGCATGTGGTTGAACTATCTTTTATGTCTATCCCAATTTTGTCTTCAGGTGACTGCAACCCCAGTCCTCATCTGACTGCAGCTGGATGAGAGACTCCAAGCAACTGTCTAGCTAAGCCCTTTCAAAATTCCTGACCAGGAATTCATGAGCAAAGTATAGCAATCATGCTGAGAGACGGTTTTAACTTCCTCCCTCTCCCTGATACTCACCTTCAGCTGTCATGACTCTTCTCTGGAATATCTTTTCATCTCCATTTTCGTGCTACTACTCTATTTCCAGCTAATATTATCTCCTCTTAAACAAATATAAAAGCCTTCTGGTTTTATCCATACCTTTGATCTCTCCCCAGTATCATTTAATTTGAAAATTAATTCTTCTAATACATGTGTGATACTAAGATTCATTTTATTGAAAGAGTGTATTAGTTTTCATGCTGCTAATAAAGACATACCCAAGACTGGGTAATTTATAAAGGAGAGAGGTTTAATGGACTCACAGTTCCACATGGCTAGGGAGGCCTCATAATCACAGCGGAAGGCAGTGGAGAATCAAAGGCACATCTTACATGGTGGTAGGCAAGAAAGTTTGTGCAGGAGAACTCCCATTTAAAAAACCATCAGACCTCATGAGACTTATTCACTATCATGAGAACTGTATGGGGGAAACTGCCCCCATGATTCAATTATCTCCACCTGGCCCCACCCTTGACAAATGAGGATTGTTACAATTCAAGGTAAGATTCAGGTGGGGACACAGACGAACCATATCAAAGAGAATCAATGCTGCCTTGTATAATTAAGAACATTACTCTAACCCAGATTTCTTTCGTTAGATCATAAAAGGCTATGTTCCTTCCTCCTGGTTCTCTAGGGATGCTCACTTTGGGAAGATGGTCACCATGTAAGAAGTCCCTAGGCTCCCTCATTTAACTAAAAATTCCATTTTTGAACCCAGATTTCCAGAACCCTCATATTGTGACCCTAGACTGCTTTTCTCATCTTACCCTGCAGTGTTCCCTCCATGCATTATCAGGTCCTATATTTACCTTCTGTGGCCGTGAAATTGATGAAGACAAGAATGACCTGTGGATGCTGCTTGGTCATTGAGTGTATCTAGATAATAAGAAAGCAAATATACAAAAAGGATTCTGGGATTTCATAGATGAGTAAGATGTGATACCTCCCATGGAAATCCTAACATAAGGTGAGAGAATTCATTTGAACAAAAACACTCTTTCAATAAAATGAATCTTAGTATCACACATGTATTAGAAGAATTAATTTTCAAATTAAATGATACTGGGGAGAGATCAAAGGTATGGATAAAACCAGAAGGCTTTTATATTTGTTTAAGAGGAGATAATATTAGCTGGAAATAGAGTAGTAGCACGAAAATGGAGATGAAAAGATATTCCAGAGAAGTAAGGGTCATGACAGCTGAAGGTGAGTATCAGGGAGAGGGAGGAAGTTAAAACCGTCTCTCAGCATGATTGCTATACTTTGCTCATGAATTCCTGGTCAGGAATTTTGAAAGGGCTTAGCTAGACAGTTGCTTGGAGTCTCTCATCCAGCTGCAGTCAGATGAGGACTGGGGTTGCAGTCACCTGAAGACAAAATTGGGATAGACATAAAAGATAGTTCAACCACATGCTAGCTGCTGGCTGCTGGCTGCTGCTGGGAACTCAGGATGGTTGCCTTTACAGGTGGACCTCTTCCATGGCAGCAGGCTTCCCCAGAGTGAATGCCCCAAGAGAGCCAGGAAGAGGCTTCAAAGCCTTTTCTGACCTAGGCTCAGAAGTCACACAGCCTATCTAATATAAAACCACTATTATCATGAAAAGCACTCTTTTGTGTACAACTCAGTTCTCTTGCACCTCTCTCATGTTATCATATTAGGCTGCAAAAACCTCAACCTGATTACATTCAACTCCGATTACATCTACACTCACCTGGACATGGCTGGAAAAAAGCACCCAACTTAAATGTATTTGCCCCACTACCAAATGGGTCCCTAATAGTGCTCAGAATTATTGATGTTTCTCTATACCCCAATCTGCCAGTTTGTTATGCCTCAGAAAGGTGACCTTTCTTGTAAAGAAGCTAGGACGTAAATAATTTTGGTAGCATGTTCGGTTATGCTTTTGTTGGGATGTCTTAACAAATGAATTTTAAAACCCTATTTTAACAACTTGGTATAACCAAGTAAATAACAACAAAAATATCTCTCTCAAAAAGTGCATTTGCATATTTACATGTCTTCAAAAATAAAGAGAAAGTACATAATATTTAGGAATATGATATAAAACTCATTTTTACAAGTTACAGCTGCCTGATAGCTCATAAGTGATGAAACTATATAAGGCCATCTCTAATGATTAAAAACATTTGTGATTTCACATTTCCCACATTATTTACTCTGTTTATAAGAATTGTTTAAGATGTTTTAACTTTTAAAAACAATTTTAATGGTACTTTATTTAACTATCAAAACTAAATAGATATACCTGTACAGCTTGGAAATGCTAAGCTTTTATTTAACACAAACATCCTTTGGAATCTTTTTTAAATTGGTAGCTGAAAAACATTTTTGTGTAACTCAGAGCATACATCATAAATTCTGTGTTTTGTTTTCTAATAGTCATAAATAACTCTGCCTTAAATCTTTCCACATTACAGAAATTTTTTGTGGGTGTAATACAATTGATCTCTGAATTTGAATATATATACTCATAAATGTATTCAACATTTAGGCCATTTTAGGGACAGAAATCAACAGTAGAACCATCATAATTTCAAAAATAGATTTCCCCAACTTGCAAAATTCCAAAAATCACTAGGAAGTTTCAAATTTTAAGCTCACAGCATTCATATTAATTATGTACACATTTAATCAATCTCACTTTCCATATCAATATGTTTACCTCCTTTAAAACTGTTTAATAATGTTTTTCTAATGAAAAGAGAGAACTTGTATTTGTTCAACAATCTACTAGGAAACAGTATTTAGTTAATTCTTATAATAATTCCTTGGTATTGGTATTGTTATCTCACTTTATAGTTGTTGAACTAAGTTTTAGAAAAGTTAAGACACAATTACTCATTTTTGGTAAGAATCATAATACAAGAGAAAGATAAAGAAAAGTGAACTGCTGGAATGCACAAGAAGCCAAGGCAGCATTACAGCATTTAGATGGGGGCAGAAGACAACAAAAGGGATGGAGAGACCAGAGAAGAAGCCAGTTACTGGGACCTGGGTACAAACTTGGGCATGTGATTCTGACTTCATCAATCATGGTATCACATCCTATGGCCATGGTATATATGTGTGTGTAATTTTTTTTTATGCAAGGGCATACAGGAACTCTTCCATTCCCACAGGGTCACTGAAATGGGAATGATATGAACTCAAGGAGGCTATTTATGATTATATCATTTACAGCATGAAGAAACGTTACCTGGAGTGGGAGTAATGAAACCAATAGAGATAAGAGACCCAGAGAAATCTTGCTTACATTGCTTAAATCCTGTCGGTCTTGTGCTAGAGTCCTGTTAATACAAAATAATAATAATAATAATCCCTTTATTTATTATGTTTGTGTCAACTTCAACAAAAAGAAACTTGTCTAAGAGACAATATAATAATTAATGTGTGATTAAGAAAGAACTCTCCACCACGGGGAAAGTGGAAAGGATATGAGTCCCTTTTTATGATGCGATGCCATGTCTTTTAAATAAGCCACACTTTATGTTCAACAAAAAGAGAATAAGGAGGATTCACAAGAGAACACACTCCATTTTTGATTGCTGAGAAGATACTTTTAGTCATTAATGACTGACTGAACAACAATTGGGGACACAGACATGGTTACTGGCCAGTTTGAGGTGATAACATTGTTCCCTGTATACAGCGAGTGGCAAGTGCATTTATAAAACTTGCCATCATGGCTGCTAAATTTCTGAGTCTAGATGTGTGCCTCTCAAAGAAGTCTTTGAGGGGTTATTATGAAATAAAACAAAATTAATATTATTCTTCTGAGCTCTCAAAGGCAGACCTATTGAATTAAAGTTATAGAAAGGGAGGCTTAAACTCAGCAATAAGAATGCCTCTCTTGCATTCTTCATCACTAGAAGTTTCCAATAAGATTCTCAGGAAAATTTAGAGAGTATTCTTGAATTGAGCAAGCGGATAACACAGAGATGATTCAAATGTGGTATGATGAACTTCTACAATGGTTCCAACTCTAAACTTCAATTATTCTAGCCTCCAAGACCTACACATAACTGCGCAAAGTGCAAATTATTCAATAGTAATCTAGAATTCTGAATAGTTAGCATTTCCCCACTGTTTGATATTTGTATAAAGCACTCTTAGCAGTATGAATAACTAGAATGCTTCAAAGCAATATGTTTTATTGCTTTATCTTTAAAGAAACTGTGTCAGACATTTAAAATGAATGGTTGCTATCAGGAAAATGGATCTCAAGACACAAGAAATAAAACACAATGACTTCCTTATTTGGGGTAAGTCTCCTTGTACTAAAAAGAAAAAGTAAGAGTATAGGAAAATGTTTTCCAGAAAATTACATTTTCCCAAAGGTTATTTTAAATTTTAATAATTTAATCAACCATCTGACTCTGATTTCAAGTCAAATGTCTCCGAGATTCATTTTATTATAAACAACAACAAAACTTTGTAGTCATGTAAACACTGGTGACAGAGAATAACACCACTAATTACACTGAGTAGAAAACAGGAGCCAAGTAAGGGAGAAAGACTCTTTATGTCACTCATCAATTTAAAAGTGTTTTTCACCCCTAGGACCATCCTGAAGCCGAAACTGGGGAAAACATTTACTACTCTCACAAACAAAAATATCTATTCCATTTCTTGCATGCTGTGTGTGTCTCTGACATTTGGTTTCTGTCTAAGTTTCTAAAGAAAGGCCTTATTTGGAGCAAAATATATTTTTTGTGGGCATTGATGTGAACTTCAGGTCTGGGTTATCAATGACCTAAATTGAGAGAATAGAGGTGCTGTATGGACAAGGAGAGAAAAGAGAGCATACAGCTGTCCTATGCAGTTGCTCTGTTCACAGTGAGGATTGAGCCATTCTAATCCCTTTGGATTTTTTATCTACCAAAACAGCTTGGGCCCATCAGCAAATTGCAGTGGCATATGGTACAGGTTTACGAGTAATCTGGCACATGATTAAGGCAAGAGGGATGTCATCTTTCAGCAAATACTGAAAATATTGTAGAAGAATTTGGTAGGGTTTTAGAATTCAAACTGATAAAATTATAATTACTAAATACTTCCTTAAATCAACAATTTCTATATTAAAATGAAAACTTTATTTGTTAGAAGTTACCATGGGGAAAAAATAATGTCCAAGATATTAAGAAATAGGAGTTTTGTTTCTCAAATTTAGAATCAATAGCTTGTAAGCTACTGATTCAGGATCTTATGTGGCTACACACCATGCTTGTGTTTCAGGGTGGACCAAGTTTACATTTCTCTGCAGTCAGATTACCATTGTGCCAACAACTATTCTAAGGTCCCAGTGAAATAATTTCAAATTATTGAAATTATTTTATATAATTTTATATATTTTATGTAATTTGTAAACTATATATACTGGACATTTCAAAAAGAGATAAGATGTGAAGACAAGTACAATAATAACTTCTGTCTAATTTAACCTCATCAATATTTCTCAAACTGAAGTAAGTATCCAGCTACAGAAGTGGTTTTCATTCTTGGATGCACATTAGAATCATCTGGGAAGATTATAAAAGTATTAATGCTACCCACAGAGATTGAGATTAACTTGTCTTCAGTGAGGACTAGGCATTAGCATTTTTAAAAGGTACCCTAATATTTCCACTGTTCACCCAGAGTTACAAGTCTTTTAATTGGGGTAACACTCCAGTGTGCCAGGTGGTACACAAAACGACCGGATAAAAACTAAACACATCTTTCTGGAAAATCCATCTTTCTCAAAAATTTTTGGAGAAGAAAATGTTTTGTTACTTTTTGTTTCACTTAGATTATTATACATGTAAGACATAAAATATACCTTATGTCTTATACATATAAGTTTAAGATAGATGTAAAATATACACACAGTAAAAGATGAGAAATGGGAATAAGAAGAAATGATGAATAGGTAAGAATAAAAAGGTGAGTAAATTCCAAGTCTCACTGAGGTTAGGAAAGAAGGATATTAAAAGTAGAAATGAGATAGCTAGAGGTGTACGGTTTTCAAGCAAAACCATGTCCCAGTACTCTAAGAGGAATAAGTGCATTCATTCATCTTTTCCTTCCTTCATTAGCCATTTTTAAAAACTAAAATAATACCTAGGGATATTATGCTTTCATTGAGACTAATTTCGTATTTTAAATTTCTCCCATATGTTTACTCATACATAGAAATCTAGTAACTACATACTGAAATATTTATCTACTCATCAATTTAGACATATGTATGTGTGTTCATTTATTTGAGCTTATCTTCTAATCATTGGGAAAACATTTTTTTAAAGGACGTGTAATGCTAGACTGCATTTATGTCTAAATAAGTGTAGCAGTTGCAGGTATGATCACACAGGCTTGGCTTGGATTCTATTTTTTTTCACAGATTATTTAATATTTATGACTATGAGGACCCTGAATAAACACTCCAAGTGGCAGAAAGAAAATAGGTAAAATTTTCCCTCTCGTTTTGCTTAATATCACAGTGGTCTTTAGAACAACAACACAGCACCAACACTTTTTCAAGTTTTCAGGTTGTTCTGGGCATTATACGCTTACTTTACCAAGCTCTTCCTTATTTGATTAAAGCTGACTAGAACCAAACAAAGCCATGACCACATAATTCAATATACGTATGACAGGATTAAATTTCCCTGAACTTGTACTATCAGCATCTATCATGTGAGAGACAAGCCAAGTTTAACTTCATTGTCTTCTAGTCTTTTGACTTTGCAAGTAATGTCAATACTCCGTTCAGAAGGATTCCAGCAATGACTTCTGCCAACAATCTTCCTCACTTTTCTCCCATTATCCCTTCAGGGTTAATTAATCTAAAAGTACTTACTAATCCATCTTAACTGCAGCTTTCAGGGGAGAAAAAAATAGGAGTTTGATTTCACTCTAATCAAAGCAATTTTTGCAAAAACTCTTGCTAGGTAAAATCAACCAGTGACTATTTGGACAGCTGCAAAATCACCATAGCAACATTGTCACCTCATCATGTCAAGACCTGTGCACTGCCTGGGCTTTTAGGAGAGCTACTGTATTCAGTGCTACAAACTGATGCAGATGAATAGACGTGAGAGGTTCATGACTATGTTCAGTTAGGAAAAATGTCTCATGTCTTAATTTAAAATATTAATGTGGAATATTTATATTATTTGGAAATCCTCACAACCATAAATCCTATGCATTGGAGCAATGCTTTGAGTAAGCTAAAAAGTTCACTGATGGATGGGAGGAAAAATGAGAGAACTAGTGGCATCAAGGCAATTTCCCACAGTGAAAGGATCCAAGTTTCTTGCTCCATTTGGCAAAATCGAAGTGGATTTTGATGATTTGCATGGAAAGTTATTTAGGTGGGCAAGAGCTGTTTGGTAGTCTGGATTTTTTAAGTGAGAAAGCAAAAAAATCGCAGCAGGAGGAAATTGCAGGCTGGGAGAGAATTCGTGGTAAAAGGTTTGGAAGTGATTTTCCTGACTTCCCCATGAGTCATGCACATTCTAAAGGTATTAGAGCGAGTCTTGGAGAAGTGAGCTACTTGTCCCCAACAAAGATGTTTCCAGGGCTAATAGAGAATAACTTAGAGTCAAACCATATAGTCAAGAAAGCCAAGAGGAGACTAAGACACAGGATCCCACAGCAAGCCCATGGAAAGAATAAAATATCAGATGGAGGTAAGATAAATGGGTTTGCTGATAGAGATCACATCCAGAGCTAACAAAACTTTGAAATCTTAAAAAAGTCTTATCCACTGTTTGAATACAGATTCCTGTACTTCTAGTTATCTCATCACTACTGTTAACATCCTGCTTCAGTGAGACTTAGAAATTTACTCGCCTTTCTATTCTTACCCATTCATCAGTTTCTTCTTGTTCTCATTTCTTATGTGGACAATAATCCAGCATTGAATCGTCCGTTTGACTATTCCTCAATTTGTATGCCTCTCCTCCTGCTGCATCTGCCTACCATAATCTCAATCTGGCCAATACCGCAATCACTACCACCTAAAATGGAAGAGGTGGGAATAAAATGTAGAACTGTGCAGATCTGTGTCACTGAAAATTCCAGTAAATTTTGTCCTAGAAGCTGGCTTAGGCTTGAGACTGAACTTAGGTTTCCTTCCCATCAAATGGAAACAGCCAGGCTCACAAAAATCCTGATTCACTTGTTAATATCTCGTAGAGAGATAAAGAGCAGCCCTACTCTGTTGCTTTTCATGTAGAGAGATAAGAAGCACAATCAGGCCAGGCACAGTGGCTCACACGTGTAATCCCAGCACTTTGGGAGGCCAAGGCGGGCAGATCATGAGGTCAGGAGATCGAGACCATCCTGGCTAACATGGTGAAACCCTGCCTCTACTAAAAATACATTGTGGCACATGCCTGTAGTCCCAGCTACTAGGGTGGCTGAGGCAGAAGAATTGCTTAAACCTGGGAGCTAAAGGTTGCAGTGAGCCGAGATCACGCTATTGCACTCCAGCCTGGGCAACAAGAGCAAAATTCTGTCTCAAAAAAAAGATAATATTGCTACAGGTTTATCCTTTGGCCAATCCTCCTAGATAATATAATAATGCTAATGGTGTCAATTGCTACTAAGTATGAAATAATTCCTAAATATACATATCTAGCCAAGATTTTTCTCCTTGTCTCTAGACCTTTAAATAAAACTACCTGTGAGAATTTCCACTTGAATGCCTAAGAAGACACTGTAAATGGAATGCATCTCAAACTGAACCCATTAGTTTTCCTCCCAATCTTTTTCTCTTCCCAGACTACCCTGCTATCTAGGTAGATGGCAGCACCCGTATGCATCACTGAAATCAGGGACCTAAATGTCATCTCTGACCTATCACCTTCCTTTACTCTCCTATCTCTTATCAAATTTTTCATCAATCTCAATTAATTCTACTGTTAAAATATTTCTTAAATTACTGACACTTATCTATGTCCACTGTGACTACCTTCAGAAATTTATTAGTTCTTACTTTGTTTACCATGAAAACCTTTTAACTGATCTTCCTATCTGTACTTGTAATCCCCTTTAACCTGCTTGCCACACTGTCACCACTTTGATTTTTCTAAACCTTACAACGGCTTCACTCACAGTGACTTCAGGTAAGGTTCTTCATAATAATTATCTGTCTGCCCACTTTTTGCACTTGTTATATACCAGTTATACTCAACTAAAAAGTACTGGTTGAGCCAAGCCTCTCACACTTTTGCACGTGCTTCTTCCTCTCCCTAGAAGGACTCTTCTACCTACTCCGTTTTTCAAATTAGTCTCATGTGGCCTCAATATTGGCTCCCTCTGAGAGTCTTCCAGATGGGTTTAGGTGGCCCTTCTTACAAGCCATCTCTTTTTTCTTCTGAAAGAGAGCTTGTCATCCTGTACTGTAATTGCAAAGTTACTCTCCATCTCCACTACTAGACTATGCTGTGAGACCTCTTTGCATTCATGGTGCCTAGCATGAGTTTTTACACAGAGTAGGCACTCGGTGAAGCTTTGTTAAAAATAATTAAATGGACAATTATTAACCAACTAGAAATAATGTCTAATATAACAGGTAAAATACAAATGAATAATATATTTTTTAAAATAACATTTCTTTTTCATAGAAAGATTTGAATTCATTTGAGAGATTTAAAAATCCTGCAGAAGAGCTAAAATTACTTGGCTAAACTCTGCTCCATGGCTCAGGGCTTCACCATGTAACACCTGTAGCTTAATTTTTTTGTCGTTATTTATTATTTGATCATTAAGTCATATCCTGCTGTTTGTTATGGCCATATTAAGGATGTGTTTATGCAGTAACTCAAGTGTTCAGAAACACATACCATCGATTATAAAGTTCCTTTTCTTGTACAGCCACCTGCCTGCTTGTTGTGATCTTTTTTCTCTCCTTTTGTGTTTCTGAAATACTTTTAAACTAGATACTATTATGCAGAATCTCAATACTATATTTTTTCTGTTCTTTTGTACTGAAAGGATAGGCAATAGTTTCTTTTTAGCCCATTTGTGAAATATAATATTTTACATTTTGTTTAAAAGACAAACAGTAAAAGAGAAATTTGATAGGGATCAAATTGAGGTGAAGAACAAAAGCTTCCTGCTTTAGCCATGTCATCCCAATGGAAAGTATAAAATGGCCAGTTACTAAGAAAAAGTCTAAATAAACCTCAAAGAGGAGATCTGATATAACATTGAACAAATGCATGTCTCATGATTATTCTCTTCCAACAATGAGGAAACCCACTGAAATATTGCACATTCATATTCAGAATGAGAGAAGCTCTCGTTTATTATTATAGATTGAACATATTATTATGGATTGAAAAAATTTATGTATCAAAGTCCTAAAACCAAATGTAATGGTATTAGGAGGGGGACCCTTTGGGAGGTAATTAGATTTAGATGAGGCCATGAGGGTGGGGACCTGTGATGGGATTAGTGTCCTTATAAGAAGAGAAAGCTAGACCAGAGCTCTCTCTCTCACCATATGAGGATACAATCAGCATCTAAAAGGCAGTCATCCTAAAGCCAGGAAGAGAGGCCTCACCAGAAACCAATCATGCTAGTTCCCTAATCTCAGACGTCCAGCCTCAAACTACGAGAAATAAAATTTCGTGGTTTAAGCCACCAAGTCTAGAATATTTTGTTATGCCAACCCAAGCTGACTAATAAATTTATACAAAACTAACTCAATTTACCCCTACAAAAAGTTTAACACAGGAGGAAAATAAAAGAATTATTTGTCTTTTTACTCAGTTTCTGCTAATAAGTGGCAGAAAGCTTTTTTTTTCTGCCAACAGACTGAGTCTCCAAAATTCTATTCAACAAGAATTCTTCTGATAATCCGTAATCTTCACCCCATCCATCTGTTTCTCAAAAGTACACAATGGTATAATTTTGGAAAAAATATTATATACTATAAAGTCAAATTTAAGACAGTGTGAAATGAGATAAAATATTTTAAAGGTATATCCAAAGACGTCTTAAAAATCTCACAACAAAGATTGCTTGCAGGAAATTTTGAAATAAATTATAATCATATAAGCAGCTTTTAAAACTTCAGTAAGAACAGAAAAAAACATCTTCCCCAACTGTGATCCCAAATGTAACTCAAACAATGGGTCGTATGCCCCAAATCCATTAAGTTATCCTGTTAGTCTTTGCAGAGTCGATTAGTCTTTGCAGAGTCAAAAGTCAACTATTTCATCATGGAGATGTGGTTTATGTCAGTCAACACAGCATCCACTAAAGAGGTGAAAGTCAGCACTTATATTCTGAGGTCTGGTACCATCTGGTGAATTCCCAGGAATGTGAGACCATTTCATCTCCACTAAAAGAGGCTAGCCTGCAGTAACCATTCATACAAGCTCAAAAAAGAAAGCATATCTATGCCCAAGCAAGGACAATGCCAGAATGCAAATAGCCTACTCCTCCCAAAGCAAGCTATTCTTGTGCCTGAGAAGAAGTTCCAAGCTCATTATCAATTTAAAAGATTCAAACAATTTAGCTCGATATATAAAAGTGAATTGTTACCCAATTAACTGACAATGGGGGTTGCTTTTCTTGTCAAACAAGCCCTCAGTGGTGTTGATATAAATGACATTGTAACTAGATCATGGCTAAGAAAACACTTAGGTATGTTGAGAGATGGTTCATCTGACCAATTAGAAAGTGAATGGAAGGGAGAAAAAATGAAGACACGAAAAGAACTAGAAAGTCTCCCAACTTGATCTATAGCTTCAATGAGATCCCAATCAAAATTCTAGCAAGTTGTTTACAGATATCAACAAACTGATTCCAAAGTTTATATGAAGAGGTAAAAGATTCAGAATAGTTAATCAACATTGAAGGAGAAAAACTAAGTTGAAGGACTGACACTACCAGACTTTAAGAATTACTGTAAAGCTACAGTAATCAATAGTGTGATATTGGTGAATGTATAGACAAATAGATCAAAGATATAAAATACAGAGACTAGAAATTGATTCACATAAATACAGTTAACTGATCTTTGACAAAGGAGCAAAGTTAATATAATAAAGTAAAGATAGTGTTTTGAACAAACAGTGCTGGCACAACTGGACATCCACATGCAAAAAGTGAATATAGACATAGACTTTATATCCTTCACAAAAAATTAACTCAAACTGGACATAGACTTAAATGTAAAATACAAAATTATAAAATTCTTAGAAGATAACATAGGAAAAAACTTAGACAACTTTGAACATGACAGTGACTTTATAGATGAAACACCATGGCAACATCTATGAAAGAAATAATTGATAAGCTGAACTTTATTAATTTTTTTTAAAATCTACTTTGTGAAAGACAATGTAAAAGAATGAGAATATAAGCCATGGAAAGAAAATATTTGTAAAAGACACAGCTAACAAAAAACTGTTGTCCAAAATACACAAAGAAATCTTAAAACTCAACAATAAGGAAACAAATTGATTCAAAATGGGCCTATGGTCTTAGCAGACACCTCATCAAAGAAAACGGCAAATAACATATGTAAAGGTGATCCACATTATATGTTACCAGAGAAATGCAAAAAAGAACAGCAATGAGACACCACTATATACTTATTAGAACGGACAAAATCCAGAACACCACCACCAAATGCTGGTGAGGATGTGGAGCAACAAGAACTCTCATTTATTGTTGGTGGGAAGGCAAAATGGTTCAGCCACTTTGGAAGATAGTTTGGCTGCTTCTTACAAGACTAAACATACTCTTACCAAATACTCCAGCTACTGTGCTCCTTTGTATTTACCTAAAACAGTTGAAAATTTATGTTCACGCAGAAACCTGCACAAGGATGTCTATAGCAGCTTTATTCATAATGGCCAAAACTTAGAAGCAACCAAGATATCCTTCAGAGGGTGAATGGAAAAACAAACTTTGGTATATTCAGACAATAGAATATTGTCAAGTGATAAAATGAAATGAGTTATTAAGCCATGAAAAGCCATGGAGAAAAATGCACGTTACTAATGAAAAAAGTCAGTCTGAAGGCTACATATTATATAATTCTGATATTATATATTCCAATATACAATATTACATATTATATAATTCCAACTATATGACATTCTGAAAAAGACAAAACTGTGGAAACACTAGCAATATCAGTGGTTTCCAGGGGTTAGGGGAGTAAATAGGCAGAGCATAGTGGATTTTCAGGCAGGGCCAAAAACCTCTGTGATACTATAATGATGGATACATATCATAATACATTTGTTAAGCCCCACAGAATGTACAACACCAAGAGTGAACCCTAGTGTAAATTATAGACCTT